GCTCAAATGCAGTCCACTGCTCTCCTTCTTCGTTGTAATTCCCTGTTCTTGTTGTTCTTTACGTCTATTGGACGTCCAAGGTACACTTCAGGCATGTTCTCTGCATTTGGCGAACCACTTAGTTTGATCTGATCGCCTTCGAACAATGGGGTTTTCATGGGTCTTCTAAGCTGTGCATAGTCCGATCTTGTTTCTCTCTTCATTAACCTCGTTGAACATCGCTTTGGCTTCATTAGTGGTTCTTGAGAAGATTATGTTGTCATCAAGGAATTTTCAATTAATACATATGCCTTTGTCATCCCCATCGAATGACTTTGCTATCTACTGTGATGCTGGACCAAATGGCTTTGGCGATATGGTGTCCCTTGTTGATATGGCTGTGGTAAGAGGTCGACGATGGAAAAGCTATATATTTGTAGTGCAATTCGAATAACAGTCAGGCAGAGTTCTTGCATAGGACGGATTCATTCCTTGGTCGACAAAGGCCGACAGGATTGCATTCGTTTCGACGCTGTTAAACGCTTCGAAGTGGTACTCCCAGCAGATTTTATGACCCATGATACTGTTTGGATGTGGTCCATGTAGCAGAATCCTTGTCAGAATATTGCTTGTTCTACTTGTTGTGCTTCATTCATTGTCTTCGATTTACGCAGAAGGATAATCTTCCTAACAGCTTGTAAATTACATTCAACAAGCAAATCGAGTGTTAGTTACGAAGATCCGTTCCGTCACCTTTATTGGGTAAGATGGCCAGCACTGACGTCCTCCAGTGGTCTGAGGTTTTTTCCTTTCGAGGGTAATAGATAAAAGAAGATGAGGCTATCGGCGTTGATCCAACCTTGAGGGATGCGCCGTGCATTCGGCTTCATTAATCATCGCTTGGAGGTGATTGAATGCATATCTGGCTTTTACAATGACTTGCGGTGGCCTACTCATGTATCGAGACAATACTGGTATCCTCACATACAGGTCTGGCACCAATTTTCGGACCTTGGAGAAATGGAAGGCTTACTGAGCTTGGGGCGCGGGATCGAACCTATGTGTAGTACAGAACGCCTGTAACCACTGCGTCACATGTCTCCTTCACTTAAGAAGGCAGGATGTCATGTGTGTTATGATGAGCACGTGTAAATTATGGCTTCCAGCTTCAAGTAAGTCGGCGGTGATATTTTTCTGTCTCCTGGAGCTCTGTCTTTTTTCGTGATTTCTGTTATAACTAGAACATCAGAGTGAGAATTCTACGTGGTTTTCTCCAGCGAAGATTTTAGTATTCGGGACGTGGATTGTGGGGTGCAAAGGATTTGTGTAGACCTTTTACCGTATCAGTTCTATACCATAGTGAGAAGTCCTAATGATCCCATTTTCGTTCATCAGAGCTAACAGCGAACATTTTCCTCGCACAGATTCCAACACCAATTTTTGGAATGGTACGCTTTTATGCTACTTTTTACAGTTTCTTTGTTCTGTGCCAATTTAAGTTTTCCTGCAAAGTTCGTCTGCACCCGGTTTTTATTAGTAGCAGCGTTAAGCGTGTTGCCGTAAGATTAAGCTTCAGTTTCTTTTTCTTCTCGAGCAACTCTTTAATAGTGGTAGGGATGGAATCTGATATTCTTACTTTAGGAACTGAGGAAAATTCTGCACAGCTTTAAGTCTTTCGATGAGCTACTTATAATCTTCGATCAGGTTTTCCTTAATCTTCCAGTCACACCTGGATAGGATTCCGTACAGAATGTCCTCGTCAATATATACTTTGACTTTTTATTCCTAGTCAGTAACATGAATTCAATTCCAGCTTATGATCGAATCGAATTTTCATACGAAGAATGGGTGAGCAGACCCAGTACAAAATGATGGGATCACCGACGTTACAAGTAGGAGCCATCTGTTTGTCAGAGCATAGTCGATCTCCGCATGAGTTGTGCCATTAGGAGACTTGCATCTCCAGCGGCCGCTTTCTTTCTCAAGAGACGACTTTCTCTGAAAGAGGCATACTGTATGCACGAATCGTGCAAGACTGTTTTCATCCTCATTCCTTTCTCCTAACCTAAAATTCCCGATCCTGTACTCGCTCTCGTTGGCTTTTGCTCTTCTGACATTGGATTCATTGGCAACAAATTTATAATACGCTTTATTATTGCGGATAGCTTCCTCTCACATAGTGGAACGCACCTAATTTGGACTCATCAGCTGCATCGGTCGATGAGTAGCAATTGATGATTGTAATCTTCTTATGACGCGCTGGTTGAGGACGGGGAACGACTATGCGAGGAGGAAAGGTCATACACAAGCCGACGAGATCGACAGTTGACGAGTGCATGACAAAGTCTATCCCACAGACATTTCGTGGTGGGAGTTTTTTTCTTCCGATGACAGAGATCCGGTTGTTTAGTTGGTATATGTTGGTTTTCCTGCTTTTTGTTAATTAGAGGGCAATGCCATGGAATTTGGTGTGATCTGTGGCTTCAAGAAGAGCGAGAGGATCGGCGTTTGAGGAGAGTGTTGTGGTATTATAAGGGCAGACTAAGAAGCAATCTCCATGGCGTGTCATGTATATGTTCGTCAGATCCGGTTTTGGTGACGTCCTGCGTCACCCGAGATTTTGTAACCTCTCACGAGTCGTTTCACTACCTGTCGTTATAGACGGGAATGCGGAGTACTGAGGCTGACCTGTTGCTGGTTGGGCAATTTAATCTTTCCTGGTGCTCTGAGTTTACTTTCCAAGAGCGTTTTCAGGTAATTACCACGATATGGATCTGATACCTTTCGTTAAACTTGAAGTTAAAGCAAATCCTTCACTAGCCGTTGAAGGATTTCAGAAATATTTCAAGAATCTAAAAGTGAATCGCTGGGTGGAAGGCTTCGTTATCATAAATGGTCTCACACATTTATTAATACTTATATTTTAGTGTGACAGAGGCACATTTCCCATTCATGTGAACTCTTTGTAGTTGTTCTGCACGTGGAACACTAAGAAAAAGTCCAACTGACGAACAAAGATATAGTAAAGATTGTGGGATTCTTTATTTCTCTTCAAAGGGCACTAAAAATAGGAATACATAACTTAGCTATTAATAGTAAAAGTAAATAAAACTGTCTGTCGTTGTATTCTTTTCTTGATAAGCTTACACGAGGTTGATAAATAATTATCGATTACTATATTATATATATGGCGCCCATGGCCACCTTGCCTTCCATCGCTCTGGTGTCGGCAAATTGGTACCAGACTTGTCAGAGAGGACAGCAGCACTGGCCCGATACATCGGTAGGCTACCGCGAGTCATTGTAAAGGTCAGATATGCATTAAATAACTCCCAAACGATGCTTAATGAAGTCAAATGCATGGCGCATCCCTCAGGGATTGATCAATGCTGAGAGCTTCATCCTTTATCATATTATATACTATTATTGTTATTATTACACTATATGTAATATTACACATCGATTAGTAATACAGAGGTTAAAGGAAAATCGGCTTTGAAATATTGTTGTTGCCCTCTGCCGTTGGTTAGCACGTGAATTAATACTCAGTGAAAAACTCATAGAATGCGGTGAGTGCGCGAAGAAGCTATTTTGTTTACGGTACTATTATTGAAGTCTTGGTTTCATGTTTCTTCTATCTTGGGTGTGGAGGTGTTCAGCTGAGTAGATTTCACTCAACGTGAAATTTGCAGGCTCTGAAGATGCCGAAATCCGCCGAAACGTTAGCTTGTTCGTAAAGAAAGAAGTAAAATAATACCGTCGCGTTTGCTCATCAAAAGCAATGAATTGTTTGATCATTGCCGAAGCTAATAGTCTCACGCAGTTTGTGACCACAACACCGCGGTTTCGGTGAAGTTTCCTGTTTCTGTTTTTACATTTTCTGTCTGCCGTTTTGTTTTCATAATGTATGTGAGATTCTATTCTCTTAGAGTTTGTCCTATTCAATTTGTCAAGCTTTGTGATTGCACTTTTGAATCAAGCGCATTTGAATAAAACGTGAAAGTGTTTGGCGTTGATCAATCTCTACATGATGCGCGATCCACTCGACTTCATTCGTTTCCTTCAAACCAATCTTTCCATCTTTCTAGCGCAGGAAAATCGGCACCAAGTTAATCAAGATTGATAAAAATACTGAACTGGTACATCGATAGGTCCGTAAAAGTTTTCGTTCTTGGCCATCTATGAATTCATTCACCTTTACGATGCCTAGAGAGTTCTGATACATTGTACTCCCGTCATGGATTGACCACCCGCGAATGCTTTTTTCTTTATTTTCACAATTACTTAATTAGGTTTTTTATATGGCGTACCCCAACATCACATATGTGGGTGCCTTATGTGGGTGTGGATGCCAGCAATTCTTTTATTCGACTAGTTTCCTCGCATTCGTCACCTATGAAGGATTTTGCGTGTGGTCTTATGGATATTTTTGGATATTATACCGCCTCACCACCATACTTGAAGGAAACAGTTACGAGATAACAATACCTGCACATGGAAATGCTAGAGCATTTACTCTCGATGAATTATTTTCTCTGTTGAGACGTATTCGTTTCTGGTTAGATGGCTAAGAAATTAGAATGTAGAGGAATTCGTACCATATTTTCACTTGCATCTGAGCGAAGTTGCTCAAATGTATTCCTACTTAGTCCTAGTAAAAAGTTAGTGACAATGAAGCGTTCTGTTGAAACTTTTGTTTTCTGCCTATTCTTTTTTCGCGGCAAGGTACTTACTGTGTAAAGCACAACCACAAGGATGGTGAAATATGAGCTAATCTCGGAATCTTGGTTAGGCTTCGAACCTGCGATAACCCTTTCCGAGAGCTCACGTACTATCCACCACCTCAACCGTGCCCCTCACTTCGCCTTTCTCTCGTCCACTTTTTTAGAACTGTTTTTATTTTGTAATTAGTTCTTGAAACATCCTATTAGAATTATTTTGAAAAAATCGTTTTGATACATTTCATTGTCATTTATGCTGGTTTTCTCAATGAAATATTGTTAATTTTCAAGTATTTCAGTATGGGGAGAAATGAGACAATACCGTTTGGAACGATGTCTAGGATGTCAGACTTTTATATCGGACTTGTGCTAGCCGTTTCCTCGTCTTTTTTCATTGGAAGCTCCTTTATTGTGAAGAAGAAAGCGCTAATAAAGGTAATGTGGGGTATCTTTTAGTTGAACTCATCGTATTAATTAACATTTGAAATTGTTGTTCAATGAATATGTCTATTAAAGGTCCTATTGGGTTTTAACACTATTTACTGTTTTCGGCATTCAAATTCTTACTGTAGTTTCGGATATGAACGTTATTTTATAGCAAGGTGTCATTCGTCATTCGTACGTACTGCCATCACTTGCCACTAAACGTGGCATTTAGTGACGAAATGTGTGGTAGAGATTCTTGACCGATGTAGAACTGCACAACTATTACAGCTTGCAAGTGGCGATATTTCTCAACGAGCAAGTGAAGGTGGTTACGGGTATTTGCGCGAGTGGATGTGGTGGATGGGCGTCATCACCAGTACGTTATTTGGTTTTCCTGTTCACATTTATCGCTATAAATAGAAATTGTTACTAACTACTGCAACCTTTGTATTGAATTGCACTAATGAGTTGATTCTTCGAAAATTCTATTAATGGCAAAAGAGTCCTACAGGGTTTCTTATGTGTTTCAGGTTAACGTGTCGTCCGATTTTGAATACACATCTTGCATTTGCAGTAGTATAGTAGCTGTCAGTTTGCATCGTTATTTCTTGCTCTCCTTCCACATTCATCTATATCACCTGTCATCTGTCGTTCAGTTGCTTATGGAGAGCAGTCTAGTGTGTTCCCATTGTAGGGACTCGTTGAACATCATATCTTTCTTGTAGGGTTCTCGGGAAGAACTGGGACCATTGGGTGGGTGATCTTTTGCTGTGCGTCTGACATCACGAGGGATCGTATCACTAACGTATCGGATGTCTTTCATATGCATTGCGTGTGGGGCCCACTCTATCCTCGACAATTTGGCGTACAGAACAGCGTCTTTGATGTATCTAGAATGTTCGTGGCCAGACTCGTGTTGACGAGAACGCCGACGCCGCCGGCACCTCTACAGTCGTACGTTGCGAGGAACAGTTTTTCTCCGATGTCATAGGGGGCGCTGAATGGATGGCGATTTTTAGTCTCCGGTAGTCCGATGGCGTCATGACTTATCCTTTTTGCCTGCATGGTTAAGTTCTCTATCAAAGACTAAGAGCGAAGAGTGCAAGTAAGTGTCCACTATAGATATATGTCGTCACCTTAGTGTTTTACCATTTAAGCAGCCTGGTATGGCTCTGAGATTTTAGCACTCTTTCCATAATCACTACAAAACGCTGCCATGTCGGTGCTATTTTGAGGTCGTAGGAATGAACTATACTTATTTTACTGTTTCACTTTTTAACATCCACGTATAGCTTGCTGGGCTCTGAACATGGTGGCTGAGTATACTCACGGATTGCTTGCCAGGCTCTCCCAGAGTGGACATGAAGCTTATTTGTTGGAGGTGACTCCCAACCGCCTCCTATATACTTCCCAGTCACTTGATTGCAGGCCTTTGCCGGAAATGACTAGTAGAAAACAATCGGCATAAAACGAGAAGACACCCACGCATGAAACCGTGAACACGTCCTCGTAAACATGGAAGCTATTCGCGAAATCGGCGCAGCAGAACCAGGGACTCCAATCTCCTGGATCCATACACTTCTCAAAGAAGTGCAAAATCGCTTTTGGTCTGTTGTTAACTACCTATCCGTAACATAGGGACACGCCATGTTACCTCGGGAATAGCCGGTGAGCGATCTTTCTATGAGGAAGTTCCGTGGTCCTTCCGCATTGCACGCTTTTATTAAAACTCATACTTAAAAATTTGGCACGACGCCTATGGGAAGTGTATGCATAGTCGACTTTTTATGCAACCGTTGGCACCTATTCATGTGAAATTAACACATTTGTAACGGTTCAACGTCGCTCCTTTCATGAACCGAAGAGACATCAACTACAGTCATCGTTCTACGTTCTTTGCGTTGTTCTGTTGATGCAAAGTCTAAGAAATCGCCACGACGAGGTTTGTATAGAGAGCAAGATTGTGGTAAACCGTCTTGAAAATTCTTATGTGTAGGAAGTTCCAGTACTTGGGCGACGCAGGTTGCAACATATTCGCTAAGGAGGTTATCTGTTTGATGAAAAATATGTTACGGAAAAACTCAGGCGGTCAAAGACACAGCCGGAAAAAACATACTTTCAAATGCAATGAATATCATACTAAATGTATGGAATGTGGTATAAGAGAATGTGTTGTTGACCCATATGGTCATGCGTATCCGTCTGTGCAAACCAGGTTGACGAAGTATTGCTTCACAGTTATTCTTCATCGACTCTGACGAAGTAACTCATTTAGATAACTGCTTTTTCTTTACCCCATAAAAGACTGTGAGGAGGTTATTGTAGATGACAGCTGGTATCTGAATTAGTAGTTTTCACGATGAGAACGAGCAGTTTTGATCGAGACTTCCGCGAAAAAGAAGTTCTTTTTTAATGTAAACGAAATTTCAAACGAAAAAAAATTGTTGTGGGTTTCTGTGAACACACCGTAATGCCGTCATGTGCGCTATTCGCCTCGCGACTTTCGCCGCCATCCTTCAAAAAGAGTGTCTCGAACACAACATGCGTTCGTGAATGACGTTCGTTTGTAGATTGCGAAAATAACTCTTAAGAAAATTTGAGAACGTCACTGAGAAATGGTCATACAATTGGTATGTTTTACTTACCGTACTCCGACGTGTTGTAATTCCTCACTTTAAAGTTTCATCTGTAAAATATAGCTACTGACTAACCATCAAGCACAACTTTGAACGCTGTAGATATCTAGAGTTCGCAAGCACTGGAGTTCGTGACGACGACTGCCATGTTTATCCATGTATTTAGAATATATAAAGGATATTAACGATGGTCACACCGTAAGTGTGGATTCGGCCTGTTACATCATTCTAGCTCAGTTGATTATAGGGTTGCGAGAATTGCTACAATGCGTAAACGACCATGGTCACGAAACAGCAGAATTTCCGTTTTCCGGTTGGCTAGCAACTACATGCGGTGAAAAGTTTGGAAACATTCAGATACTGCTATCTAGGGATTTTCTAGAGGTATACGGTCGTACAATATCCAGCATGTAAGCGAGGAGAGAAAAGGAATGCTGCAGCCGTAGGCGCAACCATACACGAGCCAAATTCCCCTCATTGGTGAAGGTTGCAGTTCAGTGAAACGAATGAAGGGAATTCTAAGGTCTGCACGTCATTTGCAGATCTGCCATCTAAGTACGTAATGTTGCAGGCTGAAATTTTTTTTCAACAAGTTACAACACTTTGAAGTTTTCTAGCATTGTGTTGCACAGTCTTGTTTTCAAGCTAATAAGGTAGAGCTTTGGCATATGGGAGGTCTGAATCAGTGGACTTGTTTTCCGGTCTTTTCTAGAGATTACTTCTTAGTTTTTGGTATCTTTTATTAATGTGAATTCGTTATTGCACCAATATACTTGCTATGTGGTCTCCATAGTCTACGATCCAGTTGGTACTACTCATGCTGTTCCGCGATTTTTACTGATTCCTATTTCGATTACTTGCAGCTGCTATCCCTTTTTATTCCTCCTTTAGTACCTTGACGCCAACTTTCAGCTGACTTCCTTCGAGCTAGAATCCACTGTAGAGCTACGAGTAAAGTCACGTTTCTGGAGAAACGTGAGCAAAGGCGACTTTTAATTATCACACATAACCCAATTTACTTGTTGAGAGTGCTAAATTTAGTTCTTCTAGATCCCTTTATCTTTCTCACTCATATCAAGAACTTTGGTACAATGTAACCGCTTGAATGAACTGGATTACACCTGAGATTCAAACTGTATTTAAGGGAAATTCATCAGGCATACCATTGTCTTTTGTTGTTGCGTTCGTCGACTAAAAAGGCCTTGAATAACGTCGAAACGTGTTATCAGCTCTAGACAAATGAGTGCAACCTTTCTACATAAGAACTGTCACAACGGAATCACAAGGACACAACCCTTACGTCAACTATTTCTGTATTCATAGAAAGGGAGATTCACATAACACTATTTCCGAGGTAATGTTTGCTGCCGCATTTTTTTCTTGCTAGTAATAAAATTGCTCATTTGGGATAATAATGTTTGGTTACATATTGATAGAAATTTTCTCCAAAACTTCCACTTTTCCTGAGGCATCGTCTTTATTTCGAGGAATGCCGTAAAGCTACGATGATGCTTGGTGAGCTCAGTATGGGGAAAAAGTTGTAAATAGGATAGCGTTTTGAATACACCATGTCGATTTCGCAATCCTTTCTATAATCTATTGTGAAGCTCTTCTCATCACGCTAGCAACTGCTCTCCACCCGCCACATTTCAGAAGTTTTCATCAGAACTCAGAACTGCAAGTTTATTGTTACCCATTTTGGCTTAACTCCTTCCATATGTGCGTATCTGTTAAGAATTTGATAATTAAAAGATCTTTAATTGCTATTCTTAATCAATCCAGCCACGTATAAGTTAATCTTGAGATTTTTTTATTCTAAGAGTGTTATTCGTTGCTATTCCTATCTTTTTGATTGTGCCAAGCAGTCTTGTTTTCACTGAGCTTTTTTTTCGTTATAATATTCTCATACTTATTTTTAGTATTTAACACGTTAGATTTCGTCCTGAGCGAAATATTCAATGTTCAAAAGACATTTGGCAAACCCTCTCCGTCATCATATATGAGGTAGCTGTGGGCTATCGTCTGGTAGAATTAGTAGTGATGTTCTAAGTGTAGAGTAGTACAATGAAGCATCAGTGGCTCGTTTCAGTTCTATAGTATCGGCTCACTCCATGAGCACCATCCATCGTTTCTCGCCGCCATATCTGACTTGTTTGAAATAGATTTAGCTATATGTATTATGGAATGAGTTCGTTCCTGTATTTCTGCCATTAGCACTGGATCACTTATAATACCCACATTTCTTGGTATTTCAGTAGTATCCACAGAATTCTTGCAATAATACTACATCTTGCTATTATTAATCATTAATGTTAATATTATTAATTAAATTTAGTCCTCTATAAAACGATGTCTTCGTTCTTCGTTTAGTGGTACTTATGGCATTTGGGTGTCATAGACTGAGTGAAGTGTTTTCACAGAATACAAATGATGAAGGAGACTTTGCAGTCCCTTTTTTGATTAGATGAACCTATGTCGATGAAGTGCAGCTCATTGCAGTGGGTGTGGGTGAGGCGTGCAACTTCGCGGCGTATGCTTTCGCACCGGCCAGCCTCGTCACACCTCTTGGCGCACTGTCCGTTTTGGTGACGTGAGTCCGCTGTCGACTTGTTCAAAGTTCGCTTTTCCAGAAATGATTCCATTTCGATATTTAAGTGCTGTGCTGTCGTCGCATCTGTTGAAGGAAAGGCTGAATCTTCTGGGAAAAATTGGCTGTGCTGTGTGCTTACTTGGTTCAACAGTTATCGTAATTCATTCGCCAAAAGAGGAAGAAGTGGCTTCTATGGCAGACCTTGCTTTGAAGATGAAAGATGCAGGTTAACTCGAATCGTTCGAAGACGCGCGGTCATTTTATCATTGTGTTTTCTATAATGTTAATTGTACGCCTTTTCAGTTTTTATACTATACGTCGTTAGTGTGATACTGGTGACTCTATTCATTATTATCTACGTTGCTCCTCGTTACGGGCGATCAAACATCATCGTTTATATAAGCGTGTGTTCTTTAATCGGGTCACTATCCGTTCTTTCCGTCAAGGTAAGTCGAACTTTAACTTTCATGCGCGGTGAAACTATTTAGTCATGTCGGTTTTTTGCTTGGATTACGGTAATGAGTATTTAAAGGGTCTTGGACTGGCGATAAAGGAGACTATATCTGGAAATCAGCAACTAACAAATATACTTACTTACTTTTGGTTGGGGTCTGTCATCGCTTGCGTTTCTGTGCAATTGGTACACCGCTTATCATTTATAATTGCTTTGCTTTAAAATACTCTCTAAAGGATGCGTCAGTTCACCATCTCATTATAGGTATATCTGAATAAAGCGCTCGATATGTTCAACACATCCATGGTGACTCCGATATACTACGTGTTTTTCACCTCGTTTGTTATATTAGCGTCGTCAATATTGTATAAAGTAGGTTTGAAACTGCAATCCTAATATTAGTGTAAATTCGACAACCCAGTGTTAAACTAAAACTACGTGGTCCACCAACAACAAAAGCAGTTTATATGAAAGGATGCTCATATAGTGCAGTGGTACGAGGCGCCCTGCAATACACATGGGATCAATTCCCGCCCCTAAGGCTCACCAAACCGTTCATTCCTCCGCGATACGCAAATTGGTGCCATATTTGTCTGGGAGAATAGCAGCACTGGTTCGATGCATCGCTGGGTCACCGCGTGGCTAGATACGCATTCAATCACCTCTAACGTTGCTTGATGAAGTCGAATGTATGGCGCATCCCTCTGGGATTGGTCAACGCCCAAAGCTTTATCTCTTATCTTTTTTATGGAAGATGTGTAAGTCATTGTTTTGGGTTACTGAATCCGGTAACAAATCATGCAATAAGGAATAGGTAGACATAAGCACATTGTTTACGAATTTCCGTTCCATGATGACGAAATTTAGTTAATAGTGAGATTTTTGATAGCGACTTTCAGAGCACCTGTTTCCGACGAAAATGTTTCATAGATGTTCACATGAAATTTCAGGAGTGGTCTTGTCTTGGTGCTTCTGACATCCTCGGAAATGTTATCGGATTTTTAACGACAATTATTGGAATATTCCAGGTATTTATGGAACAGCATCTCGTAATGTTTGTTGCCTTCGAGCACTTGCTATTACCGAAGTCTACGTTGTAGATGCAGCTATTCCGTGACGTGAATATCAGTTTGCGGCAAGTCCGAGTGTTGCTACATCGACCATCAGCATCGTTGGCCAGTCTTGATCCCTCATCGAATTCCGTGACAAATCTCGTCGATGATTTCAATTTTTCACAACAGAACGGTGCTAACAGACACGCCTACACGTGACATCGTATGCTAGTGAGAGCAGTTGTCGGGTGCGATTTAGCGCATTGTGACTCTCACCTCTTCTGCGTTTTTGTAGCAGATCGCCTACGGGCTTTTACTACGGAGATATATTAACATTCTAACTTGCCATCGTTTTTTAAAAAAAACGTGTCAATCAATATATCTATACAGTTTCTCGGCTCAACGTATTCTTTTAAACAGGAACGGATTCTTTTTTGTTTGTGCTTAATACTTGCTAGTTGTTATTTTATTCTGCTGTGAAGGTTGTCGTACTGCTTTCATATGATGGCCACAAATCTCCACAGGTTGCTAAGCAGAACTATGAGAAGTTAAGTCGTCTCGACAACTGATGTGTATACTTTGGGCGTTGTCCACTGTACATGTTTCTGAAGTCTTTTTATTTAGCTCATAGTTTATTATTGTATAGTATATAAATCTTTCTCCTACTTCGTTTCTTGCAATAATTCACATTATCACTCTGAGTCTGGTGTATCTTTGATATGTGAGCTTTACTTCCACGAACGCCAGTTAGGTAGCGGTTCTGTCTGTTTTCACACATTCTTTCCGACCGCTACATTTTGTAGTAGATGCAGCAGTGTTTTCGTCGAGAAATGAAGCCATGCAGTACAACTCAGAATATTCATGGTGTAGCCATTCTGTTCGCCCATCCGCAGAAAACACTGTTCTCTTACATCAATACGTTTTCCTCGTGCGTCAGTCTGTGACGCTTTTTCTCGATGTAGAAATGCGTGTACGTTGCTATTGTATATAGTGAAAGTTGAATGAAAAGGTAGAGACTGATATAACTCAACTTGTAACAGTGAATTTTTGCTTGTAAAGTTAAATGAACTCTGCAGATTTAACAACTAAAGTTGTTTACTTTTTTTATTTATTGCCTACTAAAATTCTCACGGAAGGGTATTATGCGAAATCAACCACAACGATGCTGAGATATTCACAAAACTTGCACCTCAGGCCAGATCGTACCACGTTTTCCCTTTCCAGCGATTCGCACGTTAAACACTGCGCCACGGAGGTCCTTTCTCTGCGTTTCTCTCAGCTAGTTTGCTATCTACCAGTGCCATCAGCACTCACCCGTCAACGGGATTGATGTGAGGAGCCACATCGGCGTTGAACCCAGTCGAAGTTGTCTATTGGTGATTTAGTTTATAAGATCATATAAATAAATATTCATAGCAATTCAAGTTCGAGACCCGTTTCCGTCGACATTGAAAGCAGGAGTCTCTCAGTGGAGTGTATCATTACAGTGTTGACTACTTCACAGTAAACCTAACGTTTTAACCAGTCGATGTTGCGGTTCTTCCAGATTTTCACTCTAAGTTGAAATATCGTAAAAAGAAATCCCAAAACCGTCGGTAAAATGGGATTTGCTTGCTTCTGTACTTTGGGAAGATATTGATATCGAAAACATGGAACAGGAATACAACGCACTCATTCAACAATTAGGTATTTCAAAGAAATCCAAAGGCTTCAAAATCACCAGCAGAAGTCAGCATGTGGAGATGGCAGACCGAAGTGACGGTAGAGAGTTCAGCGTCTTACTTGCAAGTTGTTCAGCAAATTTATGAAATGAATAATGCAGAAAAAAAGCAGTATTAATTTTATTACAAAGCTAATGTTATAACGGCTTCGTTGTACAGAGAGAATAGTTCCTTTATCCAGATGATGAACAGAGAAAGTTATTCACCAACATCACTCCGATATTTTCGATGGCGTTATGGCTTGCCACCATATCATAGTAGGATGAAGAGAACGTCATAATGGCAGTTCGTTTTGAAGTCCGATATGAAAGGTGCATCGTATACCACATAATTCAGACGAGATTTGGGGGCAATATATGAGGACATTCGCTCGGGTCTTCATCAACATACAAAGCCAGGTTGGTTGTCACAATGCAAAATTCTCATTAAATGGATGGCTTGCAGGATCGTTGAGGTTATACAAAAACGGAGACCTACACGCCATGGAAAACTACAGACCAGTGCCTTGGAAACATGGGACGTAATGTAAGCAGGGAAGGGATTATCGGACGCACTATTAGGAGGGTAACTGTAGGAATATCTCACGTAATGCGTAGGCGAGAAAGAATCTGCGGTTCCATCTTCCAACCTATCAGAGGTGACTCTATACGCAAAGATATTAAGTTGAGTTGAAAGTTGGCCCTATTCATCGACAATTGCTGCAGAACTATTTGTGACTAGGTACAGAGGGTATCATGGCTATACAGTAACGTCATTGAGCATGTGATCGAACTTCATAAACGTCTTGCCAGAGAAAGATCATGTTCATTGGGTCACTCGAGCCGGCAGAACTTGCTGGACAACACCAGTTCGTGACAGGAATGAAGGAAAATTTCGTTGACAATCGTCCGAGTCATTCAACGGGTGGTTTTCTATTTTGTTCAGAGCCCATCAAACTTTTCCTGCACTGCTGTCGTCGAGGGCCTTAAGAATCATTTCTTCAATGCTTGATGAAGTTAAATGAGTGACGCATCATTCAAAAAATAGTCTACGCCAACCTCCAACCTATCAGAGATTGCTTTACCCCTCATCTTTTAGACATGGTAGAGGAGAATGTATTATTTGGCCTATACCACGACTTTTGGTCCCTACCGATTTATCAAGTTATTGTTTTTATCTTCTCAAACAATTCTAGTACGAATCTGCAGACCCAAGATGGGTAGAGGAATTGGTTTTTCCGGAGCGCATAATTGAACAAAAAAAAAACACCGTGGGTATCACAGGACCCTTCTAACCACTGCGCTACACGCCCTCTTTTACATAATTGCTTGGTTCAAGGAATTAACAACTCAAGATGAGCTACCATATAAGAAAATTCACCGAGATATCAACAGCCATTTAATATCAATAGTACAACTTCAGGAAAATTATCCATTTGTTTACTCTAGTCAATTGATTTGTTCGAAATCACTTATCATAGATGGGAGTATTTAAGTGTTGTGCGGTAGGGTACGAGTCATTTTATTACTCTTATGATATAGCAATAGCTTGGAATCGCTTACAAATCTGCTACATGAACGAAGTTTTTAGAAGACATCAAAGGTAACTCACCATTTCATTCCCATCGACTTGGCACTTCACTGCAGGGTTGAAGCCAGGATAGTGATTATAGCTTGCAAAGATTGGATGCGTGAACTCTTTAGTTTGCCTTGTTATGTTTTTCAGTTGGTTCGTTAGCCATTGTTTCAAAACCTTTCGCTAGGCACCTTTTCGGATTTCAGAACTGCGGGATTTCACGAGAATAAACTAATTCGGTGTGTTCGAGATCGTGACAAGAAAATTCGAACCAAACATGCAATGAGCGATGTAGGAGGAAAGACAACTTCGCAGGATATGAGGGTATGATCTCTACAATTTGATCTGGCTCTGAGCAATGGAGTGTTAAAAGGCAATTGTTCAGGTGGATCGCTGGTTTCTAACGAGATTTTCAATCGACAACGCATACGGGGGACTTTGTGAAGAGTTCATCTCACTGGATGGAGGTCCGAGCGCTTGGGAACAGCAAACTGGAAGGGGTAACCCGTTCATCGCCACACCGTTTGGTGGAAATGCAAATCGACAGCTTAAGGTGTTTAATAAACAGTTTGATGGTGATGCTTTTCTCGTTGTGTCAAGGAACCGTGGCGAAATGTAGAAAAAGCAGTAGCACGAAATGGATGTTTTGCTTTCGTGATGCGTCATTTTCACATGTTCTCAATCTACCATTGTTCTTGACAGTTGCTTCTAATTAGACGATCATTACATTGCCGCTAATTTATGGCGCAACTTGAGTGCATCCTTCACCTTAGAGCGAAGTGTTTCAAGATAGTAAACATTTTCATTATGTATCAACCATTATTCTATGATTATTCTCAGTATGGACCTAGTTTCTAGATCAATGCACAGCGTATTGGGCCGCTCTTCCATGGTCAATATCTGGCGAGTGAGGGACCCACGGTGAGCAGCGTGTTCGACTTTTGGTGTATGGTTTGGCAGGTGAGCGCTACGATGTATTGCACGGAAAGGCGCCACAGCCATCAAATCTGCCGGTTCAGGAGAACGTTGAGCGTATCTTATCGGTGAACTTCCCATATGAAGAACGCCTCTATCCTTCAATGTATGATCCCTCGAAAGAAACTATTCAGTACTGGCCCACTGAAATTGGAGAGACAGTTGTCTATATGCCATTTAAGGTCACGTGCGTCAACACACGAATGATGGTCAGAAGCGTGATGTTTTTACTACATTTCGAAGGAGCTTAGTATTTGTATAAGATGTTGACGATGATGGCGATAACAAATAGGACCATGCTAACTGCTTGCGTTTGTTTGGGTGACAATCATCTCTTTTCCCTGCTAACGCTTCAACATTTTAGATATCGCCAGGTATCTTAGCCGTGACGCCTAATGAAATGGTTTATCGGGTGACTCATTTACGGATTTCTTACTCAAATCCTATTGGTGCTCCTCAACCAGACCGAGATCTTGTACATATGTGCTACTACCGGTTAGTGGTTATCGCGTTTATTAATAAACGAATTCATATGACCATTCCCAATTTGGATCTAGGAAAAGCGTAGGTCGTAACGGCTTTACCGTAGGGTCATGCGACAAGCAACACTTGATGAAACGGAACAACTCCATATCGACAACGCATAATGTGCTGCCGATTATATAATGCATTGGAATCAGTGCGCATTGGTTGTTTTGCAATGTCAAAAGAAAAGACGCCAAGTACTTCCTTCACTATCAGTCTTCGTGATACTCTGTCTATACAAATGCCAACTAATCACTACATATCGAACGTACTGTATTTGTTCAACAATTATATCTTAGTACCTTCTTCATTTGTGGTTCCTTCGCCAGCAAATCTTTGTACTCCCACCATCACCAATGGTATCTGTGATGGGCTAACAAAATCGTCCGAAAAATGGTCCTTTAAAAAAGAGTACATGTGAAATGCAGTTTTGTACTTCCAATGCCCTGCAGTACATTTATATTAAGGGAGCTCTTGATAATACAAAAAGTATAACAAATAACTTTGCCAAAGCCACTGGTTAAAAATGCGCTTAAATCAATGCGTATTGTCGCAGATATGTTACTGAGAGTGCCGTCGGGTGAATAATGAACTCAACTTCCCTATATGCACATAACAGATAAGTATATTCCACCAGGACGTCGTTCGCCCAGAAACATGCGCATGTAAAGCATATTGCCACTGATAGTTCTATTCAGATGGCCCGACGGCGGTCTCCCAATACCATGGCCCATAACAATGTCATATGCGACCACCGCGTTGCGAATCATTGACATCGTCGACAGGGTTGGTTTCTATGATTATGAGAAATACAATTAAACTAGTATTTCAAACAGTTTCTAATACTACTTAGAAGCACGTGTGGTCGGAGACGGCCTGGAACATACGCGTGGAATCGATACACGCGCCCATGGCCCACCAAGCTTTCCATACCTCCGGGGTCGGCGAATTGGTACCAGACTTATCTGGGAGGATTGCAGCACTGACTTGTTACATTGGTAGGCCACCGCGAATCATTGTAATGGCCAGATATGCATTCAATCACCTACAAACGATGCCTAATGAAGTCGAATGCATGGCGCATCCCTCAGGGATTGATCAACGCTGAGAGCTTTATCCTTTTTTTTATCCTAATCCTACTTAGCTAAGTTAGTTGAAAGACGTAAATACGGAACAAGAGAAATCTGTGAGTTATTGTAGCATATACAGTAACCAATATTTGTTCTTCTACCTAAAGTCATCACCATAAATTTAACGGATATTGGCGATTTTACTAGCAAGCGAACCGCACTTAGATGCTACTTTTCAGGAGTTGCCACCGTCGACATCGTCGCTGCTGGTACACTGCCATGCTGGACTGGGCCGCACGGGTGTTTTCATTGCACTCGATGTTGCATTGCGGCAGTTGTATCAGAACAATACAGTTAATATCAGGGTAACTCCCATTTTCTTAGAGCTCATTCCTATCTCTTACTCCACCCTTTTCATGATTTCTCTGAAAAAATCCGGGCTATCTTGTTCGCACGGGTCTAAAGGCCACTCACCTCCTGAAAACATTTCAAGCCATGGCGCTGCACACACCTCGCTTTGAATGTTTTTTCTTTTATTCCTTTTGCATGACCCGTCATCACATTTACTGTGAGGATCCCGATACTTCTTGCATTTGGTTCGTTTCCTTGCATCCCTTAACCACGAAGATCTTTGAATATTTCGCGTCTGGCTCCGACTACTGCATGCGGATTTTCAGCTCCTTTATGAATGTCGTTAAATCTTGGTCGAAGAAATTCTCCCTGCAATCTTGAGACGACGGAACTGAGGCGTTTTCAAGTGGATCAAAGGAAATCGGATACACACAGACGAGTCTGGTAACAATTCGCCAACCCCAGAGAGATGGGAAACCTCATGAGCAGGGAGCAGAGTCGAACTAGTACCATGATCGGTCTTCATCCCCTACGCTAACCACCCCCTCGCTTTGAATATGTCTGCCGCATATTCATTTCAGCAGTGGTTCAGAGGAAGAGAACTGATTTTTTTCAGGGCGTTGTTGAAAAACTTCGTGAAAAACGTGCGCGAGCGGTAATGAACCCATGGCAATACGCGTACATAAACGCCGTCGTGGCCGAGAAGGTTTTTTTTTTTTTAACTTTTTTAATCACCGACGATAGCAATTTCTATGTTCCTCTGCAGGCTCTTCAGTGTGGAGTTCTGTCGCCGTGTTTGGGTGGGCACAGTGTTCGACACCTCATCGACCGATTATGGAAGGATCTCTTCGATGAAGTTCATCGTCAGTTTCAAGGAAACATGCTGACGTACACTCCAGAATTGCTGTGTGTGTGCTGAAGGCAATCGCACTTGCACCATCGCCCGCAATAACACTAAGACACTTGGAGAACGCGCTGTTTTAAAAGTTATCAACGTTTTCTCATCGGTCTAGTGTAAATCTTCTTTTACAAAGAGCACAGGTGTGGTATTATTAGTGTGCTAAATCCGCTAATAAATGATTAAAAAGGAAGATTTTCGGTTAAAGTTATCATTAACACTTTACACTGAAGCTCTTTTTCGACAACAGACGGTGAGTCGTGGATAACCAGAGGATTCATGAAGTTTTATGGAACTATACAGATTTATCGAACAGACACTGCTCTGTCGCCTTATTGGTGTATATAATTTCTACATTGTATTGGTTCGATTTTAAATATGTTTAGAACCTGGATCTTGGAAAAAAAACTGGGAACGAAATACTTTATAAAATTTCCAATTGAAGCGCATCAAATATGAAGTGTTCACTGGGAGGACCTTCATGTCCTGCAGGACGAAAAAAAATTGGTAACGTGTTACATATACACGTCCTATTATAAAGGAATGAAGGAAATATTTGTCATGGTCCCCAGACACTCAGAATTTCATCTTTGTCAAGAAAAACTTTTGTAGGCAAAGAAGTGTAGATTTTAACGGTTTTCATTCTAACTAATAAAGTTTAAAATGAATCGAGCCAAAAATTTTGGTTTGAAGTTGAAAGCGACAATTATTTCTGCATCGATTGCAACGCAATCTCTCTGGGGCGTTATGTTTTAATGAACAGTTTATTTTATTCACACGAACAATTTTTGATCAGCTGACACGAGGTTTGTAGCACCTATTTAGGTCATCGACGAGAACAGGGTTAGGATTCAGTTTGTTACATCGTCCTTGAGTGATCGGTCAACTAAACACAGGGTTCGTTGACGCCACAAAAATCGCTTTCGTCCTGAAAAAGGTTTAAGTGGCAAAGCAAAAAACCTCTCTTAGGATTAAAAAAATGCGACAATTCGTGAGTGACGACGACTTGACGCCCTTGCAGGTTTAATAGGTTCTCAAGCAAAATCATGGTCCATGTCATTTAGCATGTAAGTCAGGACAGAAATCCTGCAATCCTTTAGTTCCAAGCAAATCAGATTACCTTAAATTTGCAAATTTTAGAATGCCGCCATCACGTGTGATGTCTAAACCTGTGAAGTAAAGAAAATGATGCCCAGAAGTGAAAGTGCGGGCTGATCGTAGTGATCGTACATATTCGTAAAATGTATTAACTTCGGAGGTTATAGGTTCTAAAGATTGTTAGTACTGTAAAAATTTCAACTGACCACCAATGTTATGAGGAGATACTTATGGGCAAATTGTTTTGATAGCACGTGTTTTAAAAAAAGAAGGTTTATTCGGCTAATGTTTCCGTGTCTTCGTCTTCGTCAGAGCCGATGATTTCAGTCGATGGTCCACGGTGCGTTATACAAATGCCTTGTATAAAACAGCATTGCCGGTTGAGTATACCGCATTCGAGAGATGTTTCAGTGAGGAAGATCGAACTCGATACGAAGACGAAGACGCCGCATCGAGAAAATGAATATAAATGTTGCGTCAGGCGTGGCGCTTGAACACCCATTTTATTTATATAATAATTTATAATGAATTGTTTTATGATTGAGTATGATACTTCACGGGGAGGAAGTTGTTGTTGGTGAAGACATCACTTGCTATGGAGATTATCGACATTGTGCAAGGAGCAAATCCGTCTCTGTTTCACTTGAATACTGAACCGCTATCAAAACTATTTCAAAATTGTCAACTGAATAGAAGAAATACAGCAAATAAAGCTCTATGCGACAAAAGATATCACTGGAAAAGTCGAGATCGATGCACAATGAATACTGTGCTCCACTCGTAAATTGGAACCGGTGTATCATGTGTTATACGGTCACCTTCTTGTAGGGTAGAATATCAAGTTTTTATCCCGAGTTTTCTGTTTAGACACGCATTATGTCGGAAGAATGAACTGAAATAAACATAACAGTGCAATGACTGGACAGGAGCACAGGAAGGGTGCAGATATGCGACCAACCGAATGATCTTCACCGTCGCCACTATTTCCTCAAAGTTTTTATGACTGATTTCCGTAAGTGTTGGCTAGTTCCTGTTCAGTTCTACAATTATAACGTTCATTATGATTTCCAGACCTTTATTCATGTAGATGAGACAGTGGTCTCCAGTTAAGTCCGGATTCTTCATAAAGAATAACAACGTTCTTCACGAAAACCGCTTTATCTAGTTTTACCCGCACACCAACATTTCCAAATATAAAATAAAATATAATATAAAATATATAACATTTCCATCAAAATCTTACAACTGTAATTGGCAAAACTTCTGTGGTGTCTTATTTCATTTCTAGTACGACGTTCGCGTCGATGACTGGGTAACTTCAGCGAACACGATGGAATCATTCGGCATAAGTAGGACTCCCGGATTGGTCAATACTTCCACGACCAATTCCGTGTCAGTGGCATTTCTCAGCACTTCAAACCGATAACAGTGAGGTAAGTTAGAAGTATTTCCTAGCACAGCGATAGTTTAGTAAGTTCTTCAAGTTATATTTTACGAGCTGTCCTTTTCAAGATATTGTGAGGTTGTAATCACCTTTCCTTGAAATACGATAGATGACACTTCGGCGGTTTCCCCTTTCTCAGAACCTACACATATTACAAGCCTATATTTTATTATTCGGTTAATATTCGCTAGTTCTAATAAAAACCTAATTCACAAACCAAACCAAGAATTAAAAAGAACTCATAGTTTTCTAAAATTTAGTCTTTTAACTGTTGATATTGGGTGTGTGGCGCAGTGGTCGGAGGCGTTCTGCAACACACGCGTGGAATCGGTCTCCGCGCCCATAGCCCACCAAGCCTTCCATCCCTCCGGGGTCGGCGAATTTGTACCAAACTTGTTCAGGAAGATAGCAGCGCTGGGTCGATACATCGGTAGGCCACTGCGAGTCACTGTAAAGGTCAATTTTGCATTTAATCATCAAACGATGCTTAATGAAGTCGAATGCATGGTACATCCCTAGGGGGATTGATCAACGCTGGGAGCTTTATCCTTTTATGCTTTATAATCCATCGTCCTTACCTAAAACAGTTTACGCTTGTAGGTAACAGACATCAAGCAGATTTGGCGTTAGTTCTCGATGATACGTCGGTTTCTTTTTTGAAAAACAGCAACAACATGATTGTGCTGGTTATCTACTGTTTGTGTACCTCGTGTTAAGGGCTTAGCCAATAGGCTTACGAGGATTGGTGGCGCTCTACAAATAACTAATATCGGCGTCTCGCACATTGGCAGCGGCGTTTACGACGAAACGCCATGAAACTGAGAGAACTAACCCGTACTGCGCAGCATAATTGGATCAAAGTAACACATGCATAAGACTTCGTAGAGATCGCATCGTTAAACGTTCTCGTTAGATAGGAGCAGGGCTAAGGACCGACAGGTGTCAAATTAACGATGGACTTCTTATTATCCTCGAGTAGCCCGTGAAAATAAAATAATCCACTCGCCGAAGTGTAGAATTGATTAAGCACAACAAGACGAGATCTATGACCCACCAAAGGTAGCTGTCCGCAAAGGAAAATCTCTTCATAAACTTGCTGTCAAAAACGTGGACATCTCGCGAGAAAAATATTGGTAATAAATATTCACAAAGGCCGGGATAGGATATTACAACAGTGCCACAGAAAGGTCAAACTGACAGCGCGATAAAGAAGTGTTTGAACCGACCTAGAAAAAAATCCATCTAACGTTCCCTTATCAAGGCCGTAAGAAAGAAATTCTATAATGGAAACTCGATATCATCGTGCTTTGGTGACAATATTTAATGAAGCGTTGAAGTCAATAAGACCACACAACGAACACAGACCTTACCAGTTATCAACTGAATACTGCTTCAGCATATGAGCCAGATATAAATAAATAGACGCCCCATAATTGCCATTTGACGCATGAGATAGAAATGGTAGTTCCACATCTTTTGAAACGCGATAAATTCCTCGCCACATAGGGTTAAGCCTTGAAATTGAAACCTTGTTAAACTGTTAAAAAACTAAGATGATGTTGAGATATTTGCAAAATTCCGGACCGTAGTGTCTGCGGTGAGCGGCAACGAACGCGGAATTGTCCTTTCAGGGGAGTAACGCGTTCACCACCACACCAAGCGGGTCCTTCGTTTCGCCTGTCTCTCAGCCAGTTCTATTGATCGGCGCCATCGGCAATCACCCGTCAACGGGACTGATCTAGGGAGTTCAAATCGGCAGCACACTTAGTTAAGTTGAGGCTGAAGTTGAAATCACAATTTTAACCTTTTTATTTACTGCCTACTATAATTTTTATAAATACAAGTAGCTAAAAAGTTCTATAAATAAGACTAGCTGAGAGAGAGGCGAAACGGAGGACCCGCATGGTGTGGTGGTGAACGCGTTACTCCCCGGAAAGGACAATAGCGCGTTCGTTCCTCACCGCAGACACCTGTGGTCCGGAATTTTGCAAATATCTCAGCATCATCTTAGTTGTATTTCACATGATATCCTACCGTTAAAAATTATAGTAGGCAGTAAATAAAAAGGTCAAGATTGTTAGAAACCTATTAAATGTGCGCGTCTAGGACTACGACCAGAGGTATAAACTCTAAGACACCCGAGGTTACTTGGTCGATCCTGCCCCTAGGCTAAGGCTAATAAAACTCTCTATCTTTCTGTCTTTGCAATACAGCTACCAGAGATGTCAGCAGATCAAACCAGCAACTTGATACATCTACCTCGAATTACTTTTCTAGGGTTTTGTCGTTAGGTTGTTCAGTGACAGTGAAGTGAATATGATCTTAACAGAAGATTTTAGTTTCGATGTTGCGTAGCAATTGTAGCAAGTTCCAACCAGTTCTCCTGTTTTTCGTTGGAATTGTTCGAAATCGTCCTCTAGACAACCCGAGTTTCGGCATCGCGTTTATTCCAACACAACAACGTCGATCGATGGTCGAG